TTGGCTGGCTAAGCGATCTGCTCCTCTTCTAGCGTCGTCCAGCCTCTTCTAGGTCGCGCTCGTAAAGAGAACCGAGTTCTTGTAGTAACCCGTTCGGGATTCTGAAACAGAAGCGGGTCAAGAGTGCGCTGTTGTCCGTGGTCTTCGTGGATTTTACGTAGTCTGGTCGGTAACGCACGAGTAAATCGCTCGGTGTGTTTCTTTATTTTCTTTCTGCTCGTTGCTCGATCGACATCGAAATCGAAAACGCGAATAAGAACGAGCTTGAGAAGAAGAAGAAGAAGAAGAAGAAGAAGAAGAAGATGAAGAAGAAGAAGAAGAAGAAGAAGAAGAAGAAGAGAGAAGACTAAGCGAATGATTCGATGATCGTTCGCTTGGAAGCGGCGCCGCTCACTAATTATCCTTGCCTCTCGAGACATAGATGAACGCGAAAGGGACGAGAGCTAGCGAAGACATTGGGGATGGAGAAAGAGAGAGCGAGGATGGGCTCGTATCGGGCGCGTTCGTAAATACGAAAGACCGGTCGACTCATCGGCCCTTAGGGGCCCTTTGTGATCGAGCCGCCACTCGCCACTTTTTATCGAACTGTCGCTTATGATTGAAAATCACTACGCGTTTTTAATAGTCCACCGGATTCGATTTACTCCGTTTCTTCGGCCACGCTTCTCCGCTCCCATCCTCTTCCCTGCATCCTTCCACCTCCGTTTTCTAGAGCAAAGAACCATTCTAATTTAGCGCGTTCCCGTAAAACCGTGTCAAAAGGGGATCCAAGGGCTTTTTCAAGGGACGCGAACTTCGCGAAACGATGCGACCATTCCGACAAAGGGCAGAAAAGTAATAACGGAGGCCGATTTCACGATCAACAGCTGACTTTACGAAGCCGCGGCCAATTAAGGGGACCACTCTCGTTAAGCGGTTGCCCGGCACGGGGAGGATCCTGAGCGCGGGAGAAAAACGATTATTTACGTGCAACGTCACGACGGGGCCTGTGGAGAACATTGAAATCACGTGCCACGCGGGTGTACAAGCTTTTTGCCGGGGCCTCGAAACTTTCGACGAGTTTCCGCGGCCAAGTTTCTCGAGCCATGCTGGCGTGTGCCCGTGTGCCCGTGTGCCCGTGTGCCGGTGCAAGAAACACCCCACCGAACGCGACCACCTTCGCGAGACTTTCTAATTAAAGATTCCGAAGAAGTTTCTTTCTTGTCGCGCAAGAAATATCCTGCACGCGGATCGAGCCGATCCTCGATCTCGATTACCTTTCCTTTTCTCCAGGCTTTTACAAAATTTTCGCTACCGTGCTTTTCATACTAGACGCGTTCGACGAATCACTGAACCCACCTTGAAGAGGAGACTTGACTTGGTCCCTCTCGGCCGCTTGATGCTGCCGCGATTTTCTCTCCAGCTCGAGTTCTTGCACCAGCGACTCTGCGACAATAAAACGGAAAGAACATTCATTGGTTGGTGATAAGCGAAGTATAGATCTATAAAATAACGTCTTAGCGTTGATTTCGACGAGGCGTGAAACCAAAGGCGCGAACGATGAAACGGAGCGGTAATTAGTGGAAACTGCGATACAGAAGGGACGAGACAGGGATAACGGACGAAGGCAGGCGTGAAAGGGCCGCAGGTTTGCTCACTGAATTCCGCAAGGATTAGGGTGAAAACTGGAAAATGTCCCTTTAATGATATCGCGCCGAATTAACCGTGGGCGAGCCTTCTCGTTTCGGTCTACTTCGTTAAGCCCACGAAACGACGTCCCTTCGAACGGGTTCACGACCTCCGCTCTCTTTCCTTCTTTCTTGCGTGGAAAAATTCCCCAAGAGGATTTTATTTTCCCGGCTGTCTAAGGCTCGAGAAAACCCCCGTGATAATATCAGCTGTGTGTTATTAACACGTTCGCTAGCAGCGCTCATTTAGAAAGTAGTTTGCCAGAGACCACGCACAAGCACCGTGTAATTATAGATTGCCTCTGTGTTTTTAATAAAATACAAACTAAAATGATATAACTTGTAATTATGCAGCTGGTTCATATGTAACAATAATATTTCACGTCATGCCAGATTATGAAACGATTTTCATCTCCGTTCCGAAGGTGTATAAATTGAAAATTCACGACTGTCATAGGCTCGTGACAGCGGTGTTTCCATCAGATATCAAAGAGCAGCAAACGCGTTAAAAGTCACGGTGGTTGATTATTTACCGAATCACGAATGACCCTAATAAACTGGTGAAGTCGCGTCAGTCTTTGAAAAAAGGAAACGAAACGAAACGAAACGAAAAGGTACTAGCCCCGAGGCTAGAGAGTCTAGGATCGAAAGGATTAATCGCGTGCGAGGCGAGGCGACGCTGCGAAGAGAGGGGATACTCGACGCGAATATAATCGGTAAGCGTGAAATGGCGCCTCCTTGGGCAACGAGCAATGGTAAAATCCAATTGCGAGGCCATTAAATCCCAGTTAACTGGCGCACGGCCGAACGAGAGAAGAGGAAACCCGGTCGTCGTCGGCTCGCGCGGGACCAGAGACGTCGGGGCCGAGATTCCATTATGCTTTGAGCAACAATAGCTGAGGGCTGTTTCGTGCTACGTGGGTGTGAATTCGTGCGTTCGTCAGGGCTGTTATATTCGACGGGACTCTGGGCCAACTCCGAGTCAGAGCCGACGAACGGTGTTTGCGTTTCGCTCAGCCAAATTACCTCTGGCGCCCTTATCCGCGCGCGGGGTGTTCCGTCCCTTTGATATCCAAATGACAATTTAACTGCTCAAGATACCACGCTCCGCTCCGCTCGATTCCAGATTGAGAGAGGGTCGCTTCAACGTTCGATCAAATTTTTCTGCCTCGAAGAGAGAGAGAGAGAGAGAAAAAATAAAAATAAAAAGAAGATGATGATGGTTTGGTAAATGCAGCGGAGAAACGCCGCTTCGAAAGAGGCACGTACGTCCGTGGATGGACCGACTAATAGTTTTGCTACCGTATTACACACCCTGACAAATCGCGCGAACAATGAAAACAATTTCAGACGGTGTCGGACGAACGTACGGCCGTCTTCTCGGGCCTAAACGGGGCCGGTATTGTGTTCGTTCCTCGTCCCGGGGCCCGATTTTTTCGGCTGTTGACTTCGGGCGGAGGCCCCGAGACTCGGCTCGTTCGTTGAAAGGAGAGCCTCGAACTGTATCCGGTATGACTGTGCGTTTATCCGCACGTAATTAACTGGCGCACAATGCATCGCGAGAAGGCCAACTCGCTTCACGGGAGGAGACGAAGAAAAGGAACGGAGAAGCGGGAATGGCTGGAAGAGGATAAGAAGAAAAGAAAAATAACAGGAAGGCTTCTCGAAAATCTTCGTATTGTGGTCGCGATCTGGAATCTCGTTGTTACACCGCCTCTTCGATCGATTCGAGATCGCTCTTTTTTGCCCGGCGAATTCTTCGTTTTCGCAGAGCGCAAGGAATACGTTTCGCTTTCTCCAAGAGCAACCGATGAAAAATTCGCCGATCGGAGGCCAGGTGAAACGTGTGTTCGAAGAGCGTCAGGTTATTAGGCCCGCCGTGTAATAAGTAATTTCCGAGATGGCTAGGGTATCTCGTGACCTCGCCAAGCTGAAAAACAAACGTCGCACAGGGTTCGACGATCTTCTCGCGTCGATCGAGTCGAGGGTTAGCAAAGTCGAGGAGAGAAAAAGAGTGGATATACATAAGTAGTGGAGGGGGATAGGAAGTAAAGAACGACGGCGGGGGTTGATTTCGTGTAGCGCCGCGTTTTTAATGCTCTGATCTTTATGTAAAACAGAAGACGGACGGCGGGCGAGGGTTTCGGAAGGGGGTGGTGAAGGGCGCGAGGGAGAAGAAGGCGAGGATAGGCGCTCGAGCAGCAAGCCGACCGTGAAATTGTATGAATCAAGGAGGTGCATGGAGGAGAGAGAAACGCGGAGACACAAAAAGCGGCGATACGAGGTGAACAAAAAGCGCAGATGCGAGGACGAAGAGGATGAACCAATGTTCCTTGGCGTTGCTCGCTTTGATTTCCAATGGAAAGAAACGCTTTTCCCAACGCGACAAATCTTCCTAGCTGCTCCGCGACTGAAAACGAACCCCGACTCGTCGTATACTGCTGCCCTCCGGGCGATATAGAATCGCAAGTCGAGCGTCGCTCGTTATATTACGGTCGACGACAAAGCTGTTCGCCTTTTACGTATTACACGGTCGAGAAACGCTGAAGATCATTCGAGCGGCAGTCGAGCAAACGGACTGTCTCTTCTAGCTGAGAGCAAGAAATGCCGTCGCGTAAGAAACTATCCACGGGAAAAGATACAAAGGCGGTAAACTCTTGGGTGAGAAATAAACAACAAAGAAGGATGGAGCGGAATAAGAGAAGACGGGAGGGGACGAAGAGACGTTATGGTTGCTGTGAAATTATTGCATATAGTCTGAATATTAAAGCGTGGCGGAGTGCTCGGTCGTACTCCTCCTGCTCGGATGGTAGATGCTGGGTGATGGACGCGAAGGAATTGTCGTGTGCGCTTGTGCGCACGATCGTGTACAGTGTACACGGACGTAGAGGAGACAGGGACAAAGTAAGAGAGCGAGAGAGGGTGACGGAAGGGGATGGCGAGAGGCAAAGATTTAAGGGAAACGAAGGGAACGCGAGCAAAGGAAAGGAAAGGAAAGGGGAGGGAGAACAGGTAACGCCACCGAGAACCACGGTGGCCGCCGGGGAAATTACGGCTCCTTCCTTACTTGCCAGAGATGTGCATAAACTCTGCATTACGTTCAGTGGCGCTCATACCTGGAATCGGCTACCGAGAGCGTAGATTATCTGCTCGATGCCTGCGGACAGCCGAAAGTCGCCTCACCTATTAAACGCCACCGCGATTCGCTTCTCCTTCTTCCTTGGGAAGCAACAACGGATCGTTTCGGCTTCTTACCATGAATTCTATGACATTTCTTAATGATACCACTCGTATCGAATGTAAGCGACTATAGCTACTTTTCTCTGTTCCCAGGTATCCCATTTTGGCAATTTCTCTGGCAAAGCTGAACGCATCCCAAGGCGAATGAGAGGCGCTGTTCGTATAGAATGCATGACACGAAGACACGACGGCCCCGAAGTCCCCCCAGTGGCGTAAGTACCTAACCCACCTCAGACGACGACGTTACGTCGACTTATATACTCCTCCTTGTTTCTCGCTCGCCGTTTTCAGCCCCTTCCCCCGCTACCCCATCTAAATCTCCGTTGTTTATTGCAAATGGATTCCGCATCATAATGCCCGGGTGGCTGCGGGACCCTATTCAAATACCTCGTGTTTCCTCGTCAGAACCGACTGCCTCCCTCCCCCCGCAGTTTGCCTACCCTCACCGTGTACGGGGTTGTTATTGCCCCCGGCGTGATTGTTCTCTCTCTCTCTCTCTCTTTATCGAGATCTTTCGAATAATTTACTTTGCACGATACCAACGCGACCTGCACCTCTTTGCCCTCCGTCTCTGGCGAGTGCTCGCACGCCCCGAAGCTTTCCTCTTTTTTGTTTGGGTAATCGAGGATCGAAGTCAGTCGGCCGGAAGATCAGAAAAATTGAGTGGATCCTAATACGGGAACGCGATTATCCGAATTAGCGGCTTGCCACGGGTCCTCGCCCTCTTTTCATCGCGGTCCGTCTGCTCCCTCGTCCTGGATGGAAGAAGGGTGCCCGCGAGGCTCGTCGGTTTTCTTAAATTTCACCCGATACCCATTGTTATATATACCCTGCTACCTCGTGTTCCGGTACGGTTAACTTTTCCTTTCCGGAGCGATGGTAGTTTAATCAGGGTGCAGCAAACTGACCTTGATAGTTCTGCCAGAAGGCGGACGCTTGGCTACCGATCAGGTCCAAGCCGTAACCCCATGCAGGTTTCTCAGGCGTGGAAGGTTGCTGCGATGGACGCGGCACTTGGGCCTCTCTGTATTGTTGGGCCTGTTGTTGTTGCTGAAGGGACGATTGTTGTTGGGACGACTGTTGCTGCGAGGGTTGCTGTTGCGACTGCGAGTGGACCGGACTGGCTTCCGGTGGCTCTGAACTCGTACGCGCCTCCACCGTTACGTTTTCTATATTGGAAGAGAAAAAGAAATGGCGTTAAATCGATCGATTCGATGGTTGGTTGTTCGTTCGGCCGCGCCGCGAGCAGGTGACGACCCCTCGTGGAACAGATTCGCGTGCTCCGTTTCATTTGAAATTAGTATCGCTAGTCTCTCTCTGGTTCTGACAGGGTTAATCAGCGGGAACGGAGCAACGACGATGTTGCGACTCGAGCGGGAATCTACGGGGCTCTCGCGTTCTCTGTACATGTATATCGGAATAAGAGATTTCACTTAAAGGGTTTCGAGCGGAGGCTCGAGTTTTGCTAGTGACAGGAAGGAGGGGTGCGCCGTTAGCCTTCTCGCCACCCCTGAATCGTGGCGTTTATCGTTAAACGAGAGCCAGCAGGACTATCGCGTCGGGGCAAGGAAGAAGGGGTAAGGATCTTCCCGGGGCGGCGGCAGGGGATGATAAGTAAGGAATCGTATTCTGCCGGGTGTCAGTCTGTTTGTTCTGCCTCGGCGAATTAATTAATTTATTCCAAGAGATCACCGCTAGCCTCGGGGCTCTCGGTGCAGAGATCCCGCGACGAGGAAACGAACTCGACGCAAACTCTCGTCGTCTCTCCATCTCGACTTTGGATAATCTCTGCAGAGCAAGCAGCCGATGTTTTTTTACACATTTTCCTCTCAACTTTGAACTCGTGCTTACCGGTAATCGCTCTGACTTGCTCGGAGGAAGCCCCCGTTGCCTTCAGCGCCTCCTCCAGTTGCGTGCGCCTCTTAATCTCCAGGTCCAACTGCTCCTGCAAGCGTTTCCTTGCCCTTCGTTCCTTCTTTAATCGTTTCTGGTACATCACTGGAATCAGAAGAAGGAAAAGACAAAGTTATAATTTCTCGCACGTTAGACGCGTGTCGCGCGTTCTTTCGGACACGCTTTCGACGGACAGCTGTCAAAACGATTTAACGGGACGGTTCGGGTCTCTTGTTCCCCAGGTGGTGGAACCCCGGCGCGGTCAAAGTCCAACGAAATTATCTTGGCGTATCATTGTACGACGGGGGGTTTCACGGCCAGCACAGGGGGCCTCGGACCTCGAACGCTTCTCTAAGCGGGGGTCTGATCGTCTCGTCGGCTACCGTGCAGCACGCCTGTCGACGATGCCTACCACCGATCAACATCGACGTCGATCGTTCGATCTGCCTATCGATCGATCTACCAATTGCGTGCCCGGTTAAACCGGTTTTCCTTCTACCATTTGCAAACGCGAACAATTTTTCTTCTTCTTACGTTTCTTTCGCAGCTGTTAAACGATCGCAACCGTTGATCACTTTATTCGGCTGAAGATAACGTCAACGGTAACTATAACTAAAGTTCATCATTCTGTAAGCTCTTCTTTCGATAACGAAACGGAAGGAATCTCACAGGTGCGTATGTGCGAACTCCTCGCGAAAGCGGACGCGCGAAACATGGTCAGACGCGTCCCCAAAGCCAGGCCCGATCGTTTGGATCTCGGGTCGGCACGTTTGAACCGTCTCTCCTTTACTCCCCCTCCCGCGCGTTTTAATTATTTTCCGTCATTGTGAACCCGACGCGTCCGGCCATTGTGTTTTGCCAGGGTAGCCCGTTCCCGCCACTTTTCACCCGATCTCTCGCGAACCTGGCCTTTGTTGTCGACGCCTTTATCGACCCGATCCACGTCGCGTTCGGATCGTCTTATAGGCTCACTTTCCACGGAACAGAAGCGAATCATGGTTGTCTTATGTTCCGAGTAGCCTGTGTTTAAGGTGGAAGTTGGTAGTTAACCTCCAATTAGTCTCGTCACTCGGGAAACGAGCCCGACCGGGCCCGTGCACAAACGCATCGTCATTTTCGACCTATTCTGTTCAGGAGCTACATCTACAAACTTTCAAAGATCTATCAGCCATCGGTTTCCATTTTACTTCTCCTCCTTCGTACAAGAATGTTACAGTTATCTCGAGTCGATTCTGAGAATTGAAGGTGGAACACGATTGACCGGTATCGTACTCGCGATCGGCAGGTGGTCACCGGTTGAGCATCACTGATACGTGATTGATTCCCGGCAGACAAGGCGCAGACAACCCCTTTGCCCCCTCTACGTCGTCACGGTGCCGGTTTCCCTTCCCCCGCGACTGCACCATTGTCTTTCACCTTGCTGCTCTTGTTCTTACCGACTTTTCAGGAATGCGGTGTTCCACTCTCTCTGCCCGAATTGAAATATAAATTTTACTTTAACCCTATCTAATCCTCGATTAAGTTTTAGAAAAATTTCTGATTTCGTTTGATCAGTTTGGTTGTAATTAAAATTTCTTTCGTTACGTTTCTGCGTTTCCAATGAGCGTACAGGTATCGTCTGACCGGTCGAATAGGTTCGCAACGACAGCAGGGTGAGGAGAAAACGCGAAGAGGGTGCCGAGTGCGGAGGAGGGCTTGGACGGGGGCGGGAGGAGAGGTAGGCGAGGAGAGGGAGGCGAAGCAAAGTACGGGTGGCGGGTGGCGGGTGGGATAAGGTTGGAAGGGGACAAGCAGACTTCTCTTGGGCGGTAGGAGCGGGCGGTGTGGCACGAGGGGGGCGCAGCATTATGATGCAAAGATGGCGCGGCTGCGGCACCCTAGAATTAGCTCGAGCACTCGCCATTGGCCGCTCGGCAAACCACTCCTTCGGTAACAACCGACTGCATACGTTGCATACTAAGGATACACGCGAGCCGGCAAAGAATTGCCTCGAACCGGCTCTCTTCCAGCCCGATTTCCACCTACGATTCCGAACCGCGCGGCGCCCGAGTTTTTCTCCTCTCGCTCCCATCGCCCCATCGTTCGATCTTTCTCCGCTTCTCGCGACCCACCGATACTAACGAACGCGTTTTTCCTACCGCTCGTAAGAAGTAGTTTCACCGATTCGTCGCAGACAATAATTCCTCGATCGCGAAGGCGTACGATCCTCTCGTGGATTTCGTTCCGCATCGGCTCGAACGTAACAGCCGTGTAACTGTTCGCCACAGTGTCGAGTCATCGATATACGATTTTTCCATCGGTGTTCTCGTTCGGGAACCGCAAGCGGCACGAAGGCCAGTCACCACTCGGAGTCCTCTATTCTTATCAGCCGACGAACGACGCGTACGTAGAGGAGAAAGAAAGCCGCGGTCGTGGTTATGAAATCAGAGCCGGGATTGGAGCACACGGTCGTTGGAGCGGCCTGATGTGTCGCGGATAGTCGAACCGATGAATAATCGAAGCCCGCGAACGGGGGAGTAGCTGTAGTTGCGTCCATTCAGTGGGACAGGTAGGGGGTGGCGGTCGGATCTCGAAAGTTTATAATTTAAATTTCAAGTTGGAAGGAGATAAAAGGGAGCAAGATAGAGAGGAACCGAGGGACTGTCTCCGTTCGGCCACGTCAAAATACATCAGCTACCGCTGTGCGTTCGCTTAGAAATCTTCCTGGCCGGTGTCCGCTGTCCGCGCGGACTACCCACGTCGAAGACTCTCGCGGACTCTGGACGCGTCCGCCTACGTTTCACGCTCCTTCGAGAGATCCCGCGGGCCGATATCGATCTGTTCGATGTCACGGCCCCGAGATTTCGTTCGGGGCTGGGGTTTCTAGAAATTAGCGGCCGCGTAAACAATCGGGGGAAACGCGACCGGGCAAATCCAATAGGGATACCCGCAGAAACTAATATACAAGGTCGGTCGTCTTACCCGGACCGCGTTTAATACACGCTGCCGGCACGGCGGAGAGAACAGGCCCTCCGGGAATAGCAATATGATTTACATTTTGAGGTTATATTGACCATTCCCGGCACCTGCAGCACTCTGCTCCTTCCTAGGCCGCGGGCGATACGCCGCTCCGCGCCGCGCCGTCGATGACCGGGATCCGCTTAGGAAAAATTAATAATAGCCTCCGCTCGAATCTCGACTTTCCTTCAGAGCCATCTCAACCACTTTTATGATTCTATCCTGTCAGAGTAGTGATTCATGTTTTCTTCTATCAAACTCAGCATTTATTTTTAATATTTATCCATTTACCCTCTGTACTCCCCCGAGTCTCGTGGTCGAA